TATAGAATATCCATATACTTTCATCAATTGAATTTTACCCATTAAAAGTTAAGTCACGGTATTTCCACCACGTCAGTAGTTTATTAATTTTGCTCAATATTTCCTTACAATTCATTTTTGTCTACAAGTGCTGAAAATGAACACCTAATATTTTAACAAGATCTACAAGCTTCCCAAAGGGAAATGTATGATTAGACACCTGTGGGCCCAGGGGCAGAATATATGTCTTATCTTTGTTTAACTTTAATCTTAATATTTATAAAAACCTTCTAAAACATGTTCTATTTCCTTAACTGAAATCATATCTTTGATAAAGAGTGTGATATCATCCCGCATACAATACTTGCTTTATTTCTGTATTTCCAAAACTAATTCCTTTTACCAAGTGATTATTTCTAATCATATGAGCTAAAATTTCTATGCATAAAATAAATAAGTATTGAGATAATGGGTCTTCTTGTCTAATTCCTCTTTCAACCTTAAAATAACCTGTTGATGTGTATCCATTCATTACACAACTTTCAGTATTAGTATAAAGTATATTCACCCATTTACAAACAATGGTCCAAACCCAAATGATTTTAAGACTTTGTATATAAAAAAATGAGAAACGGAGTCAAATGCCTTTTTCAAAATCTAAGGCCATCAAAAAAGCATTTTGACTATAAAAAGAAGAATGAAAAATCATATCATCTATTATTCTTATGGCTTCTCCAATGTTTCTATTTTTAACATAGCCAAGTTGATCAGAAGCTACAATATCAGGTAAAATTTCTTGCAATCTCTTTGAAAGTATCTTTGTTAAAATTTTATAATCCACATTTAATAGAGAAGTCGGTCTGTAATTCTTAATAAAGTCTGAATTTTTGTCTTTTTTATGTATCAAGGTGATAACTGCTTGTCTCTGAGAGGCTGGTAATTTAAAAGCTTCATTAATAGATGCAAGGACTAGATCTCCAATTACTGGCCAAAATTTGAGATAAAATTCCTCACTTAAGCCATCATTTCCTGGTGATTTATTTAATTTCATATTTGTTAATATCTCTATCATCATCATCATCAACTTCAGGTGGCGCTCAAAGCACTGCTGTGGCCTTCACGAGAGCACGCCATGCAACTCTTTCACCTGCCATTTGTGTTGCACCTTTCATTCCTTGTCCAGACACTTTCTTTATATCATCAGTCAGTAACAGTGTATATTATCGACTTGCAGTGTACATTGTACATTTATATGCAACATCATTCTACTTCTAGCATGGGTAGACATATTCCTCCAGCCATGATCTCATCATGGAAACATCCTGTCATCATGGTCTTCTTGATTATAGCTAGCAAAGGCTTACTGATAATTAAGCCATTCTTTCAGCAGGATATTCATCATGAGTATGAATTTCGCTCATTGGATACCTCTCTCTGCCCTCAAGCAGACGTGCACCTTGTATGCAAATCAAGCAGATTGCTACTCCTTCAAGCATTTCAGAATAAAAGAAATTCAACCAGTGTGCCGAATCGTCGCTCTGCTAGTCACATCGCTATTCTACTACTCTTAAGCGGCCAAGTTGAACGAAACCCGGGGCCAATAGACACATTCCATGTGCTATTTGTAATGAGAATGTCACGGACAACGACCAAGCCCTTCTCTGTGATAACTGCAACATGTGGTGCCATATTACATGCAATGGTATTTCTGAGCAATCATATCAAGTCCTCGCCAGACTCAACAGGTTCTCGTTGGTCTGCTGCAGATGTCATAGCATAAATGCAGAAACAGCAGATTCCCTCAGGAGCAATGCCAGTCTCTCCACAAGCAATCAGTTTGAGTCATTAAGCATCAGCGACCCAACCGATGATGCTCAATATCATTGTCAGACGTCAACACCAACTTCAGCGACATCTGGTCATGCATCGAGGCTACCACCACGCCCTCACTTCTCACCATCTAAAACCGCAGGAAGATCCTGAAGGGCGTCATTATCAATTGCAATGGTCTTAAAGGTATTACAAAGTTTTGGGAAATTTTGAAAAATGGGTGGATAGTGATTCTTTACAATTTTGATATATTTGGATGCCCCTGTGGTTGTATTAAAAACACCAGAAATGTTAGCCCCTAAAACACTTCTGCTTTCGAGAAAAATTGAATATAAGATTTACCGGTGCTCCCGGTAATTTCGATAAATTTCAAATAGCTCCTACGGCCGTACAATGGTAGCTGAGACCATGAAAATCTCAGAGTATGTAGCTGTGGTATATAATTTCCGAACGACAACAGCTAATCGGTCGATTTTAGTCAATAACCATTGTTTTATAGCTTAATTAATATATTGACCTTGAGAGGGAGCTATTTAACATAATGTTTATTATTTACAATTTCATAACTTTAGAGTCAATTTCGACCGCGACAACGATCACTGAATATAGTAGGATCGTATATGCTTCCAATATATTCATTTGAACCAAATTCATGACCCCATACCAAAACTTTGTATTACCTTTAAAGTTCTGCAAAGTACTCTCAATTCCAAGCAATGATTAGTCATCACAAGCCAGATGTGATTTCTTGGTTGCGAATCTAAGCTCGACGAGACAACCCCTACTTACAGTGTATTTCCTAGAAATTACACAGTATTCCGGAAAGATCGAAACGACCGTGGGGGTGGTGAGTCTCTCATCTTAACCAACATTACTGTCCGGAATTCGACTCAAATAGTGAAATCATCTGGTCTAACTTACTTCATTCCCAACGCAAAGCCATTATTTATAGCAAGCTTTTACCGTCCCCCAAGTAACGGAAAGCAAGACCTTGAGGAACTCTAACTCTCCATAGCTAAGGTTATGTCTAAACATAGAAGACGTCACCCTAACATCATCATTGGAGGAGATTTCAATCTTCCAGACATCGACTGGGAATCCTGCTCACTGACCAATCCAAACCGTGCGAGCATCCATCAACTTTTGCTTGACACCTTATTGGAATTCTCACTGACACAACTGGTAAGGGATGTAACCCATCCTGCGTCTAGTAACATCCTGGATCTTCCTTTGACGTCTAACCCTGGCCTCATTACAGCTGTATCCAATCATCCTGGCATATCAGACCACAACATTGTGTCCTTCGTCTTTTCAGGAAATCCGAAAACAGCCCGTGCCCCTCCCATGAAGATCTACCAATTCCACCGAGCAGACTACCAGATCATTAAAGAAACTGTTGAAAAGTTTCCAATCGATTTCTTCCTTTCATCTCCAGAGCTCAAA